ACAGAGCTGTTATAAAAGTACTGAATGTTGAAGGGAAAGGCTACTAAAAGAAAAACTGTGATTGGAATAAAAATAAAAGGCACATGGTTTTGAATCACTTAGATTCAGATTCCAAACCCAGATTTCCTATTTATTATTGAGATACTTAAATTCTCTATAAGCCTCACTTTTCTTTCATTGCAAAACATGGTTTTTTTAAGGATAAAATGGGTTAAAAGATGCAAAGCTTTTAGCATACAATGACCCTTGCTTCATAGACATTAAATAAAAGTGTATTGTTGTTGCTTTTTAGAAGTGAGGATTAATGAAATGCCGAGTGTAAGAAAGAGTGAGGAGTCAAGAGTAATAGCTAAGTATTTTGCTTAAATAATGGGATAAATGGCAGAGGTATGAAACCGAGGATTGGCAGACAAGAGGAGTTTGGTTTCTGAGAACTTCATGCTCTGTTGTTTTGTAAATCAGTCTCCCTAATATTTCTTTCAATCTGAGCTGTGCTAGTAAACCCAGACTTATATGCCAGTAACCAGATTTGATATTTCATAAAATAAGTGTAAGGAAGTTCTGAATAAGAACCTTCAGGGGACTCACAAATAAACTCCACACTCTTTATTGCAGTCGTTTAAGAACAAGTACTTTGCTGATTCAAAGGCTTCTTTTGCTGCCTTCCAGGTCCAGGCAGATTTCTGGCGCTTTTACGGAGCTAAAGGGAATCAGAACTCCTATCCTGCTTGTCATCCCCACCTCTTTGTTTGCAGCACCAGCCAGGTCTGGGCTTGGGGGACCTAAACATCACTTTTGGTTTTCAGACTTATTTTGGCCTTTTAGCCACTGCTGCCTATCCCATAACCCTTGGGTGGGAACGAGCAAGCTGGTTCAGGTCCACGTGAGCGCTGCTCCTCAGTTCTGTGCCTCCGATCAGATGGGCAGAGAGGGAGGCAGATCAAGTCCATTGCCTGTGCAACCAGGAAAGAGATCCTTGTCTCCCTTCTTGCAGGCACCCTCAATGGCTACAGTGGGTTCTGGTGGAACACTTCTCATTTAGTTGATAGAAGGGAAGCAAAAGACCTAGTATGCTATATAAGTTAATGACTTAGCAAATCCCCGTGAATTTTCTTTCATCTCACAATTATGTGTTTATAAGGACTGGAAAAGGCCTATGGTATAATGTAGCAGGGCTGGCTCAGCTTTTAATAAGTCTTAATGGGATGTGTCTGGTTTCCTTGATGGCTCTTTTTGAACTGATATTTCTCAAATTTGGTTGGTCATAGGAATCATCTGGAAGCATAAAAAATAACTGATGACTAGATCCCACTTTCAGAAATTTTTATTTAATTGGTTTGGAGCAGCAGTCTGGTTTAAAAATTCCACAACTGATTCTAATGAGCAGCCTTTGCTAAGGAATACTGGTTGCGAATGTGGATGATAACTAGCACTAATTATTTTTATTCACGGGCTTTTAATTATTCTCCTGGAAGAATCCTATTCAGTATCCTGTAGCATAGGGTATTAAAGAATAACAGAAAATACAAGAAGAGTTCCTGTAGTGCTGGGGCTGAGAGTTCATTTTGTTTATGTTCTCTGCTAATGGGATCTGTGAACCCACAACTTCAGAATCACCAAGCATCTGCTTAAAAGGCAAAATGTTGAGCCTTATCCTCACACCTCCTGAATCAATCTCTCTAAAGTGGAGCTGAGGCATGAGGAACCTACATTTTAATAAGTTCGCCTAGATTATTCTTGGGCACATTCATGATTTAGAACCATTAATCTGTAGCAGAGCTTCTCAGCCCTGACTGCGCATTAGAATCGCATCGGGGCTATAAAAAGAGCCATGCCAACTAGGCCAGGGGTTCAACCTTGGCTGAACCTTAGCATCACCTGGAGGCCTTTTAAAAGCCTCATGTCCAGACTCTATCCTGAGCCAATCACATCAGAACCCTCCGGGGCGGGGAAGAGGTACCCAAGGGATCTGTAGTTTTTAAAGCTTCTCATGTGATACCAATCTACAGCCAAGGTACACTGTTCTGAGTATTCTGGTTCAGTTTGTTTGGGGTGGGTCTTAGGCATTAATCATTTTTAAATGCACTCCACATCATTTTAGAGTGCAGCCAAGGTTAAAAACTGATGACTATCAGGTTTTGAACTTCCCCAAGTGTACTTACTCAGTACCCTTTAGTCTACAGATTCAGGCTTTCCCCACACTGGCTCCAAGCCAGTTTAGACCAAGGCTCACAGGGATGGTCTCATGAGAATTTATATGTCCACCTAGACATAAATCTCTAATCCTTGCCTTTCTGAACCAGTCTCATTCATTAATTTGTCATTCATTCAACAAATGTGTACTAAACTCCTAATATTTGTTAAATAATCTGCACTAAACTATGGATACAATGACAAATACAGTATTATTCCTAATACCTCAAGAGGCTTTTAGATTTGGAAGGGTATCTTTTTTTTTTTTTTTTCAAACAGGTATTGTGGAGAAAATTGTTACAATGGATGAGTGAACAAAGACCTGTAGGAATACAGATATGGGTAGCCATTAAATCTGCCTTGGAAAAACAGGGAAGACATGTCTAAGTCCTCTCAGTTCTTTGAATGCCCACACTCTCTCGACAATACTTCAATTTGTATTTATTTTCCTGGAACATTCTTCCCCTTTTCCCCACCTGCACTTCCTACCTCGACTCTGCTTAGCTGCTGTTACTGCCACAAAGAGGTCTGACCTCATGGATGAGGATAAATTTCTTTATTATACATCCATGCACTAACTTGCAGGAATTCTTTCATAGCACACACTCTCTTTATTGCATGTCTATGACCCCTCAGGCTTGTAAGTTCCATGGAAGCAAGAGCAATGGGCTGACTCCTTTACCATGTGCCCTTCGCACAGCACAGTTCCTAACACTCCCAGATGAATGAATAAATCGCATTCCAAGAACAGGGGCTGCTATGTACAGAGCCATAGAGGCATGCAATTCTGTGGCATATCCTAGAATAACAAACCTTTTGGGTGGCCCATGTATAAGATGGGCAGGAGGAGGTCTCTAGAGGTGAGTCAGAAGAGGCAGTTGGTAAGGGGCTTGTGTGTAACCCTAAGTGGTCTTAACTTCATCCTGGAGGCAGTGGGAAGCCAGAGGAGGTTTATATGGGGGAGTAGAATAATGAGGTTTATCAACCAGAACAATCGTTCTGGAAGCAGTGTGGGAGATGAGCTGAGAAAGAAAAGATTGATTTAAAGAACAGTTAGTTTTAGTACTATTGGCAAAAAATAACAAAGGCTTCCCTGAAGTAATGAATCAGAGAGGCTCTGTTCAAAAAGCATTTTTGAGATAAAATCTATAGCACTTGCTGACTAACTGCTTGTGGGGGTGAATGTGAGAGACGATGCCATGGCCTAGCTTAGAAGACAGGGTGGGTGTGGAAACATGGAGTATAAGCAGAGAGAAGCTAGTTCCAGGATTTTTTTTTTAAAGCTCATTTTTAAACAGGTTGATAGTTTCATCTATCTGAGGACATACAGGTGTAGAGACTCTTGTGCAATTAGAAATGTATAAAATTTTTAGATTGTAACTTATTGACTGTGGATGTAGCTGGTATTGTCCAATTGACTATGTTGACTTTTGAAAAGGCAGTGTCATATTGATTTCATGATTTGTACTTTTTTGGACCACCATTGCCAAACCATTTGGCAATATGTCAAGGAAAAATTTTTCATTTAAATAACTTATTGGTTAAATTTTTTTGGTTAGATACATACACCTATGAAAATCCCACCCGAATTCTGAGGTGATAATGATTTTATTTTAGGTAGCTATGCTGTAATATTCCGTTTTCATTTGATAGTGAGTTCAGAAAGAGAGAGAAAGAGAGAGGCACAGAGAGAGACCAGGGATCCAAACTGCAACCCGGTACATGCCCTTGACTGGGAATTGAACTCATGACCATCTGGTCTGAGAGCTGAGGCTCTAACCACTTAGCAGCCAACCAGGGGAAAAAAAACCTCGATTCTATACATAAACACCTAAGTGACTTTTCAGTAAGTTATTGACTACATATAGCAGCAGAAGTAGAAGAGACCACAGTAGGCATTACTAAATGGCCTTTTATTATAGCATTTTCTCTTGGCAATGTAAAACCAACCTGGGAATTTTAAAGCTATGACCATAAAATGCTATGTTTCTTGACAGAATAACCTTGGATATTGTTCAATGAAAGAGAAACATTTAAATTAATTGTTATTAAAACTTTTTTTTTTTGCTTGTTAATGTCCTAAAAGCTGATAGGTGGGTACATGATCAGATTTTTATTTTAGAAAGATTACTTTGTGAACCGTATGAAGAGGCTGGAGGAGAAAAAACAATGATTCAAGTTTGACAGAAGAGAGATGATGGTAAAGGCCTGGAATAAAGCAAATGGCGGTAAAATGGAGAGAGGCCATTAACTAATTCATTCATTATTAAATATTTATTCACTGAATTATACCAGACTCTGGGGATGCAGTGATGACCAAACCAGATAAATTTCTACCACCTAGGAATTTATAGACAAGTATAAGAGATGCATTTTAATCAAATCATTATACTAATAAAGGTGAAACTGCAGATGTGATAAATGTGGTGTGATTAAGGAAAAGTCAAACTGAGAAACCATCTCAGAAAGAAAATTGACAGAACTCATTTGGTTATAGGGGTATCAGAATAAATAAAAGACATGTTTCCTGCTCTTTTTCTGAAAGAATATTAAAACTGATTTGTGTGACAGATATTATACATGAAATGACATCAAAGAAAATGTATTCAGTGACAAATTGTGTGGAACAGATTTAAATGACTTTTTTAATCAAAAGATTAGATCAATAAGCTATGAATTGTAAATTCTGATTTTGCAGTTAATTCCACTTAATTTTTGTCATGGCTATTCAGTTGGAATGATGGTACTTTGCTGATGAGACACAGTTACTCTAGATCTTTTCACTTCATTTTTTTTTTTTAATTCAGATGTTGCCAGAGCAATTGAATTATTGGAAAAACTACAGGAATCCGGAGAAGTCCCAGTGCACAAGCTACAATCCCTTAAGAAAGTGCTTCAGAGTGAGTTCTGTACTGCTATTCGAGAGGTATGACACTAAGATTCTATAACTATGTTCAGCCATATGTGTTCTGAATGGAAGACATATCTTTTCCACACAAACAGTTGAAATAGTTAAGATCAGAACTACATCTTTGCCTTCCATTTTTAGCTCCTTGGACAGATGATAAAACATAACTTAATCTGTTAAATTCTTTATTTAGATTCAGTCAGGATTTATATGGTCATATAAAACCCAATGTTTATCTTATGGTACCAATAAAGTGACTACCTTAGCAGGTTAACTATTACATGTAAACTATTTAGCAGTCACATGAAGTTATCTGGAAATTCAGTTAGAAATAGTCATAATTAATGAGGGCTGAGGTTTTCTTTAAAGAATATTCAACTAAACCGAAACTGGTTTGGCTCAGTGGATAGAGCGTCCACTTGCAGACTGAAGGGTCCTGGGTTCGGTTCCAGTCAAGGACATGTACCTTGGTTGCGGGCACATCCCCAGTAGGGGTATGCAAGAGGCAACTGATGGATGATTCTCTTTCATTGATGTTTCTAACTCTCTATCCCTCTCTCTTCTTCTCTGTAAATAATCAATAAAATATATTAAAAAGAAAGAATATTCAACTAAGTCTTTCACAGGCAAATCTGAAAGAGTAATAGCCTACTGATTAAAGTAGTAGTTATCCAAACATTGCTAGTACAGTGATTGTCAACCTTTTACTAGTACATCTCATGACATAAGGTAATTACTTAATTCTTTGACAATCCAAAATATATGGTTGTTGCCAATCTGACAAAAAATAAGTATAATTTGATAGATTTGTAAAAAATAATAATAGTAATTGTCTACCCTTTTTGTCCCAAAGTTACTTTTAAAAAAAGCAGGTGCCTATTCTTGTATATAGAAATTTCTGGTACCAAGAATTAACCAGACAGACACAAACTTATTATGAGAGTTAACCAATAAGATACAACTTTGTTATATGACCTATAATTTACCATTCCAGACAGGGAATTCATACCGGATGGCTATTATTGTGTTGGTTGTTATCATTTTTGTATTTAACAATCTAAGAGAAAAGAGGTCAGTGCTCCTGACTAAATAGTCAGGTGTTGCATTTTAAACATTTTTGTGGCACATCAGTTGAAAATTGCTGGTCTGGTGCAATAATGGAAAATCTCTAAACAGGCTGCCATGACCTTCTAACAAAACTTTGTAATGCTCTCCTGGCTAATGGTTTTAGGATTCCTAAAGTGAAAAAAAAAAAACAAAACAAAACAAAACAAAATGTGTTATAATGACCATCTGAATAGTGTATTGACTTGTGATAGAATTGACTTGTAAACTAATGAATTTAATTGTTTACAAGTTCACTTGAGAGATATATGCTATGTTGCTTTTTAAATGAAATCATATTCAGTAAACCTATCACCCCTTCCCCATCATGTACTAAGTGATGATTTTTTAATTAGAGCCTAAAGTCCATAAATCCAGCATATATGCCTGGGTAAAAGCCCCTAATAATGAAGTACCTTCCATCTTCCCCAAAGAGTGAAGCAGAAGTCATACACCTCCCTCTTTGCAACTCTGCATGTGGCTCTCACATTCTAAATTATTTATTTATTTATTTACCCTCACTCGATGTTTCCATTGGTTTTTAAGACAGGAAAGAAGAGATAACGAGGAAAGGAGGGAGGGAGAGAGGGAGGGAGGGAGGGAGAGAGAAAGAGAGAGAGAGAAAGAGAGAGAGAGAGAGAGAGAGAGAGAGAGAGAGAGAGAGAGAGAGAGAGAGGAGAAAACCATCAATTGGCTGCCTGCCCCTCCAACAGGTGATCAAACTCTCAACGTAGGTATGAGAGAGAGAGAGAGAGAGAGAGAGAGGGAGAGAGAGAGAGAGAGAGAGAGGAGAAAACCATCAATTGGCTGCCTGCCCCTCCAACAGGTGATCAAACTCTCAACGTAGGTATGTACCCTGACCAGGAATTAACCCTGCAGTGTTCTGGTATATGGGATGATGTTTCAACCAACAAGCCACTTCGCCAAGGCAATGTACATTTTTATTTTATTTTATTTTATTTTATTTTATTTTATTTTATTTTATTTTATTTTATTTATTTTATTTATTTATTTTATTTTATTTTATATTTTACTTTATTTTATTTTATTTTATTTTATTTTATTTTATTTTATTTTATTTTATTTTTTTACTGCAACAATCCTAACTATGTGTAGTCCCTAGGTGGGAACAATCCAGGTGACTAAGGTAGAGACATATAACACCTCTGTCACTATAGATTTAAAGTGCAGCCTACCCAATGTGATTACATTTCGATTTTGCTGAGCTTTGATTTAGAATGTACTTGTGCTAAATCTTTATCTACAAAGTTGTTGACTATTGCATTTTTGTTTATAATGACCACAGCTTGAGTAAATAACCATAATTTTATCTCCAAGTTTTAATGTATAAATTTGACCAAAAGCTGCAAGGAAATTTCTCAATGTAGAATTCTTGGACACCAGCTGCTCAGTGAGAAAGGTAAAAGATATGAGAAACCCCATGGGCCTCCTCTTGTTTAAACTCCTGCAATCACTCTGTAGAGAATACCAAGGTTAAATCGCCTATACATCCTTTTCTTCCTTCACAGAGTCCTACTTCCCTGAGATTCGGTGGCTAACTTTTCATTTTTAGATATTCTATCACTTCTTTAACATTCCACAGGACTAACTAAAGGCTATAGCACATCAAATATATATGTATGTATGTGTATATATATATATATATGGAACTTGACTTGTGATCAATGCAAAGTTCCTACCTTCATGGAACTTATATTCCAGTGAGAAAATGATGATAAATATGCAGTACAATGTCAGAGAGTGACAAAACTATAGAGATGAAGAAAAAAGGATTAAGAGAGTAGGATTCAAGCACTATTACGTTAGGATGATACAAAAATAACCTGTTTAAAGTAATGGAATTAGTCATATATATCAGGGGGTTGGGGGTAGTGAAGCGTTTTGGTCACAGGAAGCCACAACTGCAAAACCAGAGGCAGGGCATGGCTGGCGTGGGCTCAGTGGTTGAGTGTGAATCTATGAACCAGGAGGTCATGGTTCAATTCCTGGTCATGGCACATGCCCAGCTTGTGGGCTCCATCCCAAGTGTGGGGCATGCAAGAGGCAGCCGATCAATGATTCTCCCTCATCACTGATGTTTCTATCTCTCTCATTCTCTTCTTCTCTGCCATATTCTAATTTCTCACTTGATCTATTCTTTCTTTTATTGCTAGATTCCCTTATTTCTACTCCTGCAAATACACACCTGTTTTTTCACAACAGTCAGAGACTTTTATTACAATTTCTTTTTTTATTGATTTCAGAGAGGAAAGGAGGGAGAGAGATAGAAACATCAATGGTGAAAGAAAATCATTGATCGGCTGCCTCCTGCATGCCCCACTGGGGATTGAACCCTCAACCCAGGCATGTGCCCTGACCAGGAATCAAACCTGGTTCTTAAATTGACGCTCAAAAACTGCACCACGCCGGCCAGGCACAGAGACCAGTAGAAATCTAATCAAGTCTGGTCAAAACTCTTGAAAGGTTTGCTGTCATTTATTTTAAAATTGTATTTTGAAAACTATATAATTTTATTAAGCAATGTTACCACAATAAATTCTATGAAAATTTAAAAATAAAAAAAGAAAAGTGCAAGTAGGAAGTATGATGAATAATCTCAAAATTACAATGGTGAATATCTAAAAATTAAATTTTACTGATGCAAGAACCCTTTCATTCTTTGTCTCTAGGGTATTGACTGCTATGTTGGTATGAGAAGTTTTGGTTTCTTATTCAAATAATGCTTAAAATTTTTGTGGTTACATTATTTGAGTTTTGAGAAATATTTGCTAGTTAATCCTTTCCAGTGTAAAAGTTACAATTTTTTTTCATGACTGGTAGAGAAGAGAACAAAAAGTACAGTGGTTTTATTCTTAGTTGCATTTGTCAGAGCAAAAACAGGACAGGTCATGTCATTGCCAACATGACTGTAAAATCCACATTACACTCAAAAAGAAAGTAGGGCAATAAATGCCAAATTTTTAATTGCCTTACACAAGCATAACAGTAGATATTGTTACACACTGAAGCAATCCCATATTTTGTTTTACATTTTGATTAAACCTCTTAATCAGCTTTTGGCATATGTGCAGCTCTTATCAGGGAAGAATAGTTTAATGAAATTTTGTTTTTTTACTGAAAATGGATGATTAAAATGTTTTTTAAATATATTTTTGTTGATTTTTAGAGAGAGGAAGGCAAAGGGAGAGTTAGAAACATCAATGAGAGAAATACCAATCAGCTGAAGAACAGTTAAATGAAATTTCATTTAGTTTTTTTTACTGAAAGTGGATGATTAAAATTTTTTTAAATATGTTCTTACTGATTTCATAGAGAGGAAGGTAAAGGGAAAGAGAGATAGAAACATCAATGAGAGAGAAAAAGCAGTCAGCTGCCTCCTGTACACCCCTTACTGAGGATGAAGTCTACCACCCAGGCATGTGCCCTGACCGGGAATCAAACCAGTGACCTCTTGGGGCATGGATCCAGGCTCAAACACTGAGCAACACTGGCTGGGCCTAAAAATGGATGATTAAAAGTGATTAGATTTTCTCTCCTTAACTATTTTTCTGCAATCTGTACGTCTTGGGTACATCAGTACTGAAATACGACCATCTGTGTATATAACTAAGAAAGGCATTGGTTTATTAATAAATATCTTTCAGTTGAATGCCAATCCACATACAGATTTACTCATAGAATACTGATAATAGTAGGCGATACTTACTTTGCTTGTGTTTTATTACTGAAGGAGCTGGAAAGGACCTAATTAATAATTAAATTGCATCTATTCTGTGCAGGAAATTTCAGAGAACAGGACAGATAAATGGGCTGGCACACAATGCTGCTTTTCCATCATAAGAGGTGATGACTGACAGGAGAATGTTCACGCACATTTTTAAAAAAAATATATT